TTGACTGAGAGTTAGCTGTGAAGCAATACACTCCAGAAGTCCATAAATATCTGTTGTTCAGTTATGAATTTGACATTGCACTTGGTTTCCATTGTTGGTTATTTATCTACATAAATGTGAAAGTATTAGACAGTAATGTTCTCTGACAACAGTAGGCTTGGTCGGGGAGGTCCATGTCCGACTGGAAACACAAGGGTTCCGCTTGTGTTTCCAGTCGGACACGGACCTCCCGTATTTCTTTTTTTATGGTAAAAATATATTTATATATATATATATATAATTTGCAAGTAATCGAGTACTCGTTCATAAGGTAATGAGTACTCAAATATTGAAATTACTGAAAATGCCCATCCCTAATATGGGGTGGCAGAGGCAAGAGCAGGTGCAGCAACAGGTCGGCCGCATGGAAAAAACACACACCAAGAGTCGTGTATGGAGATATAATTATACAGCTATGTGATATCATAAAATCTTATTTTAACAATTTCAAGTATATCTAATTATTCAGTCTGAGGGTTGATTAAATCAGCCAAAAGATCGACATATTCATTTCTTAATTTGTAATATCTCTCCTGTTTTCATCATGTTATAATGTTCCGTTTTTAGAAAAGCTGTTTCAAAGTTCAAATCCTCGGTTTTGGCGCTGAGGGTGACGATAGAAAATGGTTTCCTGTGTCAAACAGCAAGGCTTACAACCTGCCAAATTAGCACCATTACTACACGAGAGTAGATTTCAACTTTATCTTGGAAATCCTGACAGGTTTACTCCATCTTTGACGAGTACACACACTGTGCACCCCCCTTCCACAGAGCAGAGTTACTTGGCATAGTAACGCGTCCATACACTCAAACAACGCACACAATGATCCTGCGCCACAGCACTGCTGAGTCAACGCAACCACATAAAAGAAAATGAGAGGAAAAAGAAAGTGGGTGTGCATCTCTATTTTTGTCCAAATTACGATGTATCTAATAAGAGAGGCTGACTGGGAATAGCACATGTCAAGGAAATTTCCTCAGTAGGTCAAAAGCATTTTTACACTGGCTGGAGGGGCAAGAGTTTGGTAAATAAAACAAATCATGTCAAGATTATATCCCTAGTTTAACAGAATATTTTATTCCAGTATGGAAAGTCTCAAAAGTCCAATGCTTCTACACTCTACATGGCAGTGCATGAGGATGGCAAGGATTAGTGCAGTTGCTGCTTTTTATTAGGGGTTTGATATTTCTCACTAGCACCTACTTTGAATTTTGGTAACTTGAAAAACTGATTTGAGAGGAGAGAATCTCACTAATTTAAAAAACTAAATAAATCAACAGTTAACCGATAATAAATCTGATGTGATTTTACAACGGAGTTTATAATAACACACTGCTGAAGACTCGTATTTTTTCCTGAGTGCCAAACCCAGGGTGTTGGCACAGGAAGTCAGACAATGGAAGCACAACAATAATACTGTATGCATTGTGCTGTGTGTCCGGTATTAAACTGCAGGCATAATTTGGGAGATGTGGATTGGAAAAATGAGATCTACAATGTCTCTGCTCATCTAACGAGTACAGGACAATATCTATACAGCAGTAGGACGTGTTTATCCCCTTTTGGTGAGGGAGACCTTGGCTCAGTGTTCCATGCAGGTTTTATGAAAGGAATGAAGTGAGGTCGCAAAATACAAATCAGAAGAGGGAAGAGGAACAGATGAACAATGGGAAAGTAGTCCTGCAATGTAGTTGACTTGTAGAAAAAAAAAGAAGCTTTTATCATACATGACTAAAGTTAATCATCACCTGTGATCAGAGGAACCGATCTGCAGTGTAGGCACAAACAGGCACAATAAAAACAGCGAAAAGTAAATCAAACTCAATCAACGAGAAAACTAGGACATAGTCCACACATGGTAGAAAAATCTAGAATCTGCCTTATCCCGACTGATACAGTTGCTGGTGTATAAAATAAATAAAAGTGGAGACAGAACAGCCCTGAGGACAGCCCAAACTGAGGACTAGCAGCTCTACCAGCTGTTCACTTCAGTGTATAATCATTTTGTAATTCATAAGACTGGGACAGTTACCGCAGTACCACAGTAATACAACACCGGCCAGTGTTAAGCCCATTACCATCAGCGCTATTTTCTTCTCTTTAATCTCAACCTGGCTCCCACCTCTCCATCAACAATCAGGAACGTTACTGGAAGAAAGCTCACATTTCTCACTCTCTATATTCTGACGGTTGGGTGAACGTCAGACCTCCGACACCTCGAGAATGAAAAGCACTCACACGTACATGCTAAATCCCACCGGCTGATCGCGGCGGTGCAGTTATCCCAACTGTATGAAAATCTGGCACATGAACACACTATATAAATACACTTAAAAACCGCCAAGGGGTTCAAACCTAAAGGAAATGTATTCTTGACTCTCTCACTCAGTCTGACTAACCATGCAGTTTGGCGTGTGACATCATGTCATGGTCAAGATATTTCCAACAGGCCTACGTAAAAGTGTGTCAGTGGAAACCGTCTGACTTGACATGAGTGTATCAGGTGTTGCTGTCAGGTCTCAACTTCAAGGCCTCTTTCAAAAGTCCTTTTTAACTTTTAACTGATGTATATGCAGAGAATCCTTATACTGGATATAACTTATTCATGAGATTTTGACAGAAACTGATCTGGATCTCAAATATGAATGTGTCGATTGAAATGTCTTTGAAAATGCAATAAACAATATAACAAAATAAATTGGATTTTTGTCACTTAGGCATACATTTCCCTCATGATTTAAAGTTATAAAATATACAGCACATAGTGTAAAACATGGCTGGTTCCTTCTGTCTTGTTTCAATTCACTGTGCTCTTGTCAAATCGAAACAAGAGCAGAAGTGAGAAATGAAAAGGGATGGAAAAGGCTGTGAAAATACAGAACTAAACAAGAGACTTGGCGTTGGTTCTCAAACCAAGCCTGATTAGATACACAGTAATTACGGACACCTTGTGCTTTGTTGACATCCTATGAATTAGCCCTCTCTAATGTGACTTGCATGGCTACTGGTGGGGTAGTACAGCAGACAAGCCTAAACAGGTCAGGCACCTAGTTCGTGGAGGGGGGATCAATGCGTGTGCTAAAGTGTGTTACTTGTAGGTTTGGCAACACGTTTTTTTCTGTCACTGACAGCGCTGCATGTATTCAGTGTTTGATGGTCTAATGATTTATTGCTGTGGATTTGTACTGTTGCATCATGGGGTGTGTACTGGTGACAGGAGAAATGGTGGGTGTAATGATGCCTTCTTTTTTACTCATTCTGAATCACTATCTGCTGTGTCAGTACACGCTGTGACATGTGTTTATTGATACCAATGCCATTGCTGATTTTGCTTATTGGTCCGATTCTTTATCGATTCCCATAACAATTCCTAAACAATTTTCTGTGAGGAAAAAGAGTAGGCCTACACAGGTTTTCAGTCTCAACGCAACTGTTTAATCTCTAAGTCTGAACACAGTGTATGAGCTAGCTCTCTGTAGCCTCAGAGCTAGCTGCAGAAACACGTTGTCATCTTATAAAATATATTTGTACAGCATTTATTTTCATTTAGGTTTCATTAGTCAGAAAGAAAACCTGTTAAGCCTGCATGTGTGGCACTAATGTGCTAATAATATAGAATTTGCTCCTAGTAACGGACTTGTTGCTTGGTTAGGAAGCAGTGGCACTCATGTGTACAGTGCTAAACACGTGGTATTCCTGGAATTTGTTGCATAGAAAGAAATTTTAGCATATTTCTGGTGTTTCCACCCATACTAAAACTCTGGCACTGTCATCATCTTTCTTCGTGACATAGCTCTTTCTTGTCGCAGGTTTCCAGCAACATAGACGGATTAGCTTGATGTCAATGTTTTGCAACGCGCGGCTGTCAAAAAAACATGCTAGCATTGATATTGATAAGCTCTAAGGCATACAATGCTGATTTTTTTGACAATTTTGAATCGGTTCTTAACAGTAACCGTTTCACCATTGTTGCAAAACGTCATCCTGAGCATACCGTGCAGACTTCATCTGAAAACTTTTCCATTTCTACAAAAACCCATATTGACCAATAAAGTTCCTCTTGGCAAACTATATGACCAAAAACTGGACACCGGCTTCTCCTCTCTGCACCATTCTCCTCCTTCTCTCTTCTTTACCAACCACATCCAAAATTTTATCAAATGCTCTTCCTCCTTCTCTAGACCTATGAACCACTTTGCTTCAGCTTGTATGGTCAGAGCAAATCAATCACCTCTTTCTCTTTGACTGAGCTCTGACTTCTCTACTCTGCAGTCCCCTGGGGGCCAATCTGTCTTTCAATGTTCAGAATGGGCTCAGCCCGGGAAACAAAGGGAGAGGAGAGGTAAGACGAGGAGAGGAGAGGAGGGTTACAGCAGAGGAATGCAGGAGGTCTCGGGGAGGGGGTTTTCAAAACATTCCACTGTTCACAGTGAGCTTATTCATACATACGTTCACATTTCTTTATGTCTGTCCACATGCCCTCTGTTATGTGCACACACACATACTCACACACAAAGGTGTGCCAGTGTTGCTGTGTCAAAATGATCGTTTACCAAAGATGCACAACCCTTGCAAGAACATGGCCCAATTTAAAAGCCTGAATGCTGCATTAAATGTGAATACAAGGCTACTACACAATATGACCTACTAGATATTACTTCCATATTGTATGCTAGCCCTTTAACATTCTTATAAAGCAATATATTTTTATATATTTTTTCACAACAGTTATCAGCACATGATAAGAGGTGTCTATCACTTACAACTATAAATAAGATAATCTGGATGTGAAATTGGATCCTATAGTTTTACTTTCTTTGTGGTCACTGCACTATATTCCAAAGCAGTGTTGCTGTGGTATTTAAACATGAAATCATAATTTTAATAACATTACAGCACGGTTAATATAGTTCTTTTCCTCAAAAGGCTGTGTGTGCATGTGAGTATGTGTGGCTCTCACCTGGCTTGGTGATGCTCTGAAAGTAAAGCACAAGAACGAAGAGCGAGCCGAGGCACGTCGCCAGGAACAGGCGTCCTCCTCTGGGCATCTTCATCCTGAAGCCCGGCTCGGCTGGCGGAGCCCCCGACCCCTCGTCGCTGCCTCGACACGGTTCATACGAGACCACCCGGCAGAGGATGCGAGACTCTCCGAAGAATTAGGAGCCTATTAATCAATTGCGGGGAAACGAAAAATAACGACAGCCCATCCAGTAATAACGTTAGCCGGACTATTGAACGAAACAGTTTACGTTAGCCGTTAATTCTAACGTGACTGGGTCATAAATCCAGAAACGCTCGATGTGGTCTTTGTCGCGTTTTTAAATTAACGTTAACTTAATGATGACAGATTAGGTAATGTTACCATAGATAAAACATTAAATAATATTATACAGACATGACAAGCCTCAATTCAAATTTTAAAAAGTTATGAATAGACTGTTTTGTTTCGTTTTAGCTCAGGTTGTTACCCACACCAGTGGTGTCTACAGTTTGTCGGAGCAACACAAACTTCTTCTCCGCCAAATATGGACGGGGCACCGTGCCATGACGTCACACCCACCCCCCCTCTCGCGCCCTCTGCCCGTTTCAGAGGCTGTTGTGCTGCCTTCAGGTAATGTCGAACATATTGAAGTTAGACTGAGAAAGTCGGATTTTCCTCGTGAACTCTGCTCTACTGTCAGGTGTTTTGTATAGAATGAATAGTACAAACAACACATGTCATCTTTTTGTGTTTGAAAAAATACAGTCAACATTTTGGCCTAATGGTGAAAAAAAAACAAACCATTATGGTCTGCAGCTAAGCAGTGCTATAGGTCTGAGAAGAATTCTGATGAGGAACACGTGAAGGCAGCATTAAAGTCCTTCAGAGATTTCAGCAGACTGAGGTACAGCGTGTACTGTCTCGTGCGGCTATGACAGCTAGGGCTGTTGACGTAAAATGAAATAAATGAGAAAAAAAAACAAAAAAAAACTGAAACCACGTGAATCTTCCACACTAATACACATTTAATGAAAGCGTCATAAACACTATGGATACCAACTTACCTGCTGTGAAATATGTCTGCAGTCCATGTTTTATTGTCAGTCACATTTGAAATTACTAATTGCAGTTGCAAGGGACAGAAGTGGGTTTCTGCTGTGTCACTGAAGCTTAAAATGGCTGCAGTACTGACTGACTCTTGCTTTGAGCACCCTTTTAATATGACATAATAGGCCTTCTCACAGCAAATATTACATTATAGTGCATGTACAGATGCTTAGCTATTAGTGTAAATGTGGAACTGTGTTTTCTTGTATAGTATTCTTTGACGTTTTTTTTTATGCATTTCTTAAACTTCACCACATTCACATGTTCAAATTCCACTCTGCTAGACTTTCTAGATGTCAAATATGAGTTCTATAAATTGCTTTTTTTATGCCAGAATCAAAATCCCCTTCTGAACAAGAGCACATTCCCGTGCACACCAAGTCTGCGAGATGTCAAGCAATGCTTTAAATCACATCATAACCAGAGGGAAACGTTTTTTGACAAATTGGGAGGTGTTGCTAATGGAGGATGATGACAAATATAGAGAATGACCCCAAAGAACTCAATGTGTGGATTCAAATCTGTCAGAGTGATCAATTCTAGAAATGATCTAGCTGTTGCTTCTGTTTAAAGATTCCAAACAGTGTCTAATGCCAGTACAACATTTACTCCCAGCATTATCTGTCAATTTTATTTACTGTATAGCACAATTCTGAGACAGACTCAGCTTGCCTCATTAAAGAATAACAGAGCCATAAACATGCAGCAATGCACACATAGGATATAATGCATTCTATGTATAGATGGTTTGAGTGTGTCTGATTCACACAAATTCTGCACAGGGAAAACATCTTCACCTACTTTTAAATGCATTTGTCCACAATTGCACCAATTGAAGGTGCTATTGATCAAAATAGGTTATACTGTTGACTGCTGTCACACTCATAAACATTTGAATGCTGGTTGTCAAACTTATTGAATGCAAAGGTTTCCAACCGACTATCAATAAAAAAAAGATATGAAGTATAAAAAAATATTTGGTACTGTTGTATAAGGATGAAAGGAGAAACAGTGAAATGATAGGAAATTTCAAAATGCTATCAGCCTGAGGCCACTGAAGAAGTTGAATTTCATCAAACGTTTCCCTATAGAGAGGAGTCATTTTCATCAGTGAATGAGTTGTACTTTAGTACTGTAATGCCAGTATTATGGATTTTTCCTGCAAATTACAGTACATACTGCTTCCTCCTGAGGCGAGATTTAATCTGATCAAAGTCTAGAGACGTGGCAGAAACTGAGCCACTGAGGAAGTGCCAGGTCAGCGTGTGAGCAACATTCATGCTGCCGTATCTGAGAATACCATAATTATCCACATGCCCATCATTAGACCTACAACATGCAATGCCTCCTGGGTTTCTTGGAAACACTTAACAGAGATCCCAGACTTGAGAATGAGAGAGGCTCGGTTAAGGATGACTTGGCAAATTATGTGGTTGTTTGGGGCAGTGTTAGCTTACCACACAACTCTCATCAGTGGATGGTTTTTCTGGCCACCCACAGGTCTTGATCTACTCCCTACTCCCTAAGAGTTTTTCATCACCACAGGTGATCACTGACTTTCCATGTATTCATGGATTGTTTTTCTTTTGGTTTTGAAACATTTTAGTGAGTTAATTTCATATATAGTTTGTGCTACACAGTTAGAAACCACTGTAGGCTTGCACTTTCAGTTGTGAATGATTCAGCTTTTAGCTTAGCTTAATATGCTAATAAGAGTACTACAAAAGTGACCAAAGAGGAAAAATGCTGAGTGAAATTAAAGTTTAATAGACCTTTTTTACAACAAACATTTTGAATGGTCAAACACATGTGTAACCAATAACATTACTACATGTTATTGCTGCACTGCATATTGTTGGATTCAGTCGTCAATGTGGTTAGTTCCACCTGTGCCAAGTCAAAGCATCTGCTGCGAAAAAGATGTATGAATGTGAAACTTTTGGGAACAATAAGTAACTATCAAGCTAGAAGCAAGAAGCTATCAAGTTTCAGGTTAGCATTAATTACTCTTAGCCTCTTGGAGACTATTTTGGGAATTGAGATTTTGTCAAGGGAAAGTCCATTGTAATCTCCACTGGTTTTATTTTCTTTGATTCTGTCCTGAGTTGTTTTACACTACACAAAATTCAATCTGCTGTTACTGGAGTGAGGGTTTTTTGTGCCAAACATGAGTTAATAACCAATAAAATATTATAAAATGTTCCACATAACAAATCAGTCAGAGTGGAAAAAGGGCCTAATCACTTTATCACATAGTATTTTAAAGAAGACATCAAAGACTGGATATAGTTTGTGATTTTGTCATTCAAGAGCACTGATTGCATGTAAATGAATCCAAGCTGGAAGAAATCACTGTCTTAAAGTGTATTTAATTTATGTCTGAACCTAAGGGAAGTAAACATTTGCAATTTTCCATCTAGCATATGTGCTGTAAGACCTGCAGTAGGCGGATAACTTCATTAACGTCCTTTGATCTCATATGGTTTTCTGTCAGTGGCGCTGGGATGGGCGGGGTTGACTGGCCTAGTGTGGAGACATCCCATGTAAAACTGACAGACAATAATAGGGCCTTAAAATGTGCTGCACAACATGAAGGGACATTTTCCTGGACATGAAATTGAGTCAGTTTTTAAGTCTTAGAAAAGATTTAATCATAAGCCTGTGAAGGCAGCCTATAATACTCCAACTGCTTGTTTCAGACAGCCATACCCAAATGAAATGCTCCTTTTGTATATTTGTCATCATACTGTACTCTGTCTGCTGACTATACTTTCTCTCTACATGCATGCTCTTGCTGTTATTTGATACACACTGCTCCAAAAGCAAGCCCAAATCAGTTTTATGTGATCACATTCCTTGTCTCAAACTGCTTCAAAACCCCCAAAGTATGAAAACAACTGAAAATCATCCTCCCTCAACCTTATGACCTAAGTGAGAACATGAAAAAAACTCCCACAAAAACCCCATGACATGAACAACCTTGCTTGTACTTTCATGTTCACTCTATAATGACCATGTGCATTTTTAAATGCATAGAAGTCACTAATCTAGGCAACATCAATACGACCAAAGGATTCTGCCTATCTAAACATGTAACATGCATGTGGACCCTGCTGCACATGTGATTGTGGTGTTCAAACCCAAGCAGAACCTTTTTTTGTATGTCATGTGCTTAAATCTGTCAAGTAAAGGTTATAAGTCTATCAAACACATGTCATATATAGGTCTAATCTTCATTTTTTAATTTAGTCTGTGTGGTTTTAATCGTAGGAACATCATCACTATTGAAATGACAACATTTCCATTTTGTGATGGACTGTGTTTGGGATTCTTATCGCAAGAGTTGGCCATATGCCCACCATGGATGTTCTCTATCTTATGGGTTCCCATATTATTTTGCTTGAGGTCTATTAACACTTGCAACCTGTCATCACAGCATTTCAAACAAAGTGATTTTCCCCTCTGAGACTGTTTGATTTTTATATTTTTAGAGTAAGTGTTAGTGGAGATTCATGCACCACATCAACCTATTTGTAGATCAGTTGGTACTTATATTTACACCTGCTAACTTCCAGGTGTACCAGCAACCTAGCTAACTGAACCAAATGACAAATGTAGCATTAACTTGCTGATATACAACCTACTTTTATTGAAGAGTAAAAGAGGCAATATAGTATATAGAATATCGTCTGACCTTACACTTGAGCAAAATGTTATTTAATGATGATGCAAACTGGAAAGTTTTTAAGTTGTATTTGAATAATTAGTTTAACTCAAGGTACAAAACAAATACCATGACCAAATAATGTTAGCATTATGCTAACACTGAATGTAAGTATGAAATCCCCACTCAGTTTTGTCAATTAATAATTCCAATAGAGTGTATTTCAACAACATAAGGAAATCCTCAGGGAGGAGAGGAGGGCCTTACTTGTACAATTCTACTATGACTGCAAAGTGAGAAGTGAAAGAGAAGTATATAGTTAGGAGGAGGAGCTGGAAGGTGCAGACAGTACTGTCTTCAGCAAAGTTCCTTTTTAGCCTGACTCACAGGACAGTATGAGTCAGGACAACTGGTTCACTACAGTTTATAATGCATCTTTTGACAGCAGCCATGAGGGAAATAACACTGTGGACGTGATCAAACCACAGACAGCCAACCACAACTTCTGATCTGCCAGGAATTCAACTGACTGTGTGAGAACCAGATCACTGATCCCTCAGGCAGTAAATCAGACACCGTGACCCCCTCCTCCCCTAAAACTGCACATCAAATGACAACTGATCTGGCAGAAATCTGACCCAATTAGTCAGACAAAACTAATTTGGGGTTAATGTGTACCGTGTCTGCCCAGCTCAATCAGATGTATCCCACTTGTTATAATCTG